TGTTTCGCTCGCTGTTCAAATTAAAATAAATGAATGAATAAATAAAATAAAAATTTTTTTTTAAGAAACTATCAGATGATTCTCATTCTGCTCCCTCCCCCCTTGGATTATCAACTGTTGAAGGCAGGGAACAGGCCTTCTATTTCATCTCTCATGCCCCCACTGCTTATCACATTTCCACCTTTACAACCACTGCAAGTATTCCTGGCTTAATTGAGTACCAATTATTAATAGAATACAAGTCTAAATTTTGTTCTAGCCTCCAACATTAACTGTCTTGTCTACATTTCTTCACAACTTTTCCACGTTTTACCTCCAAATGAAACCACAGAATCACAAATAGTTTTGTTAGTGGTTTATGGCTTTGTCAAAACATTTACAAGAATATCCCTGTGGGATTCTTATTTTAAAATAAATACTATAGGGGCCAGCAGGTGACATGGTGGTTAAGGGCACTGGACTACCACATGGCTAACCATGGTTCAAGTCCCAGACCTGAGGGCTTGCTCTCTCATTTTCCATCTCTCTCTCACTCTGTCCCTCTCTAGTCAAATTAAAATACATAAAGTTAAATAAAATAATTCTTAAAATAAATAAATACTATATGTTAGTTAATTTCAAATAATTTAGATTTTATAATTTTTCCTAATATTGAAGCAGCTTTGAAAATTTTACCCTTACTGAAGATAGCAGGTGGCATGGTAGTTAAGGGCACTGGACTACCCACATGGCCTGGCGCAGTTTGAGTCTCGGACCTGGTGGCTCACTTTCTCACTTTTGCTCATTCTCTCTCTCTCTCCCTGTCCCCCCAGTCAAATTAAAGTAAATAAGGAAAGAAATAGAGAGAAAGTTAAATAAAGTAATTCTTTTTAAAAAAGAAAAATTTACCCTTACTTATATACTTTTATGTGTAACAACATTAGTGAAAGTATCAGAGTTAAAAGTCTCACCAACAGTTATACAACTACTATGCTGACAATAGGACTACTGCTTTTTAGGAAGGACATTACTGAGATATCAGAAATTATATTACAAAAAAAAAACAAACCTAGTAGTGCTAGCTAAAGAAGAGTTTTTGGGGGATGAGGTAATGTATGAAATGTTTAGTGTGTGAGTGATTGCACATATTATACATTCCCTGCTTCAGCAAACCTGGAGTATTGAGTTTCTTTCAGTCAGACCTGGAATTAGGTCTCTCACTCATGTGGTTTCAATTAAGTTCTGTTAAAAATAGCTCATAATACAAGCATTTTCATTTTCAGGACTTCAACAACTTTGCTACTTTTAATCCATACAAAGGATAAACATTGTGGGGAATAAACAATCAAAGAAAGTTACATAGTACCTTAGTGTTGACTCTTTATAAATAGCTAAAACCATTTTTTTAGTGTATAGTCTTCTAGTATTAGCTATTTGGTTCTTATTTTACAATACAAATACATATGTTTAAGAAGCAATGGAAAACTGTTTCTTAACTGACTAAAAGTAAATGACAAAAACTTCAATGAAATTTCAAGAAAGAGATATGTCACAAATAATTGGAGAATTCTGAATTTCATACAATTTCAGGCAGACGTTCTGCTTTATGGACTTTGACTTCACATTCATGTCTTCCAAATAGTGAAAATTCAGCCACAGCCGTTACATTCTGCCATTTGTTTTTATTATAATATCTGGAGGAAAAACATAACAATAGATTACTTCATATACAAACAGGTGTCCAGTAGTTATTAATAACCAGTCCCTGAGGGAGAGAGCTCCTGCAGCCCAGGTCACTCTAAGTTTCACCCTGTCAAGCCTTTGGAAACAGATCCAGAGGCCATTAAAAAAAAAAAAAATAGAAGAAGAAGAAGAAGAAGAAGAGGAAAAAGAATAGCTTACCCCTTCCAGGATATGCTGAGGACACGTCTCATTGGAGACACAAAGAGATCGCTCAATTACATGCTAAAGAAAAGCCCATCAAAGACTGTTGTCGGTGTCATCATCAGGCCTCAAACCCAGCCTTGTAACCTGGGGGACTGATCACGCTGCGCTTCTCATCCCTGTCCTCTTCAGGCACCAGCCAGGTAGAAGTCCTTACCTTCCACCACCTGCCCTTCCTTTGTACTCATACTCTTGGTTGCAGTTGAACCCAGTTCTTTCCAAACAAGATTCTGGGGACTTCCCCACATCTTGTGCCAGGAAATCTAGGGTGGAGTCAGTTTTTCCTAAAATTGGCCTAATTGGCCTGTGGTACTGGTTCTGAATTTTTGTTGTAGAATTACCTGTTTAGAATTGCCTGAAATTTTTAAAAAATCTTGATCTCTAGGCCATACTCCCTATCAGCTAGAGCAGGATCATTAGGAAAGGGACCCATATATTGGAAAACACAACATGCAGCTAAGTTTAAGAACCAGGGACCTCTGGGACCAGCAGTTAGCGTAATGGCTGTCACTGGACTCCCACGTAGTCGACTGCGGTTTGCGTCCCGGACCTGGTGGCTTAAAACTCACACCGAGCGTGTGTGCGTGAGTGCCCAAGATCCAGAGAGGAGAATGGAGGAGAAGGGATTGTGGTGTGGCCATCCCCCAGGGGGGTGATTTCTCACTTTCTGTCTCTCTGTCTCTCTCTGTCTGACGAGCGCACGTGCCTTATAGCGAAAACCTCTCAAAAAAAAAAAAAAACTTAATAAAAAAGAACCAGGGACCTCTATCTTTGGTATTCAAAGTTCAGTCCATGGACCGGTAACATTAGCATCACGTCAAAGATTACTAGACATGTAGAATCTTGTGTCTAATTCTAAATCTACTGGTCAAAATTTCCATTTTAACAAGATTCTCAAGTGACTCACAAGTACTTAAAAGTCTGAGAAGTACTGGCTATCCTATCCTGTACTTGTTACTATCTTTACTGACCTTAGACACTGTCTGCCCACTTACTAAAGTGGGTGACTAATTCACAGTCATCTCCAACCTCTGGGTAACTTCCCTAGTAGGTTAATCAGTTTACCTGATATCTCATCTCTAGTCTCACCTACCCTTCACTTCCTCAACCTTCATATACATATTCAGGACCATGACCTTTATTTTCCCCTGACATCACATAAAATGCATCTTTTCTGAAACTTTACAATAGAGACCTGGGAGTCATACTCTAACCATCCTTCTTCCTGCCTTACAATTCTTCTCACTACCTTCACCAGTACCTAGTCAGTCATTAAGCCCTGTCAATAATTCCAATAAAAATATTTAGTTTAGACTAAATATTAAACTACAGACTTAAACTACAGAACTCTGGAATCAGATTGCTTAAAAACAATCTTAAATCTGCATTATTGGGGCCAGAAGTGGTATGGTGGTTAAGGCACTGGACACCTTCACATGGCCGACTAGGATTTGAGTCCCGGACCTGGTGACTTGCTTTCTCACTTTCTCTCTGTCTCTCTGTCTCTCTCTCTCTCCATAGTTCTCTGGTGAGTGCACATGCCTGTAGCAAACTTAAAATAATAATAATAATAACAACAACAAAAATAACTTTAAAAAATTATATTTAAAAATATGCATTGTTTATAAATTCCTCAGGTTAGTCTGAGCACCACACTTTGAGATCTTCATATTTTCAACTTTAATCATCAGAACTTTCACAAAACTCCCACATGGCCTTTCTGCTTCCAGACTCATTTCTTTCCAAGTCATTTCCACACCTCTTGCCAGAATGTTCAAATTAGAAAGTAAATTTGACCAGAATAAAATCAAAAGTCAGCATGGCAAAGGGGATCTTGGTCGTCTGCCCCAGTTACTACTCAAGTCTCAGTTCTTAGGAAGTCCAATCTTCTAGTCCAGCCAACATAAATAATTTTAGTTCCTTAACTACCCAAGGACTATTTTAGCCTCTGTGTCTTTATGCTTGTCCTTCTACCTAGAAGCTCAAGACATCCTTGTGGGTTTCAGATCATCCTCTAAAGAGTTTCCCACCTTGCTTGTATACCTCAAAAGGTTCCCACATGTATCTCACTCTCTTTTTTTTTTTTTGGAGAGGTTTTTACTATAGGATGCGTGCACTCGCCAGAGAGACAGAAAGTGAGAAATCACCCCCCGGGGGGGATGGCCACTCCACAATCACTTCTCCTCCATCCTCCTCTTGGGACCTTGGGAAAGCACACACACTCGCCTGGTGTGAGTGTAAGCCACCGGGTCCAGGATTTGAACCACGGTAGACTACATGGGAGTCCAGTGACATAGCCATTCCAGTGCTGGTCCCCCCACATGTATTTCTATTAAAACATATTTACCTCTGTTGGACTCTTTCACGTATCTGTCTTTCCTTACAGAAGACAGCAAAAAACTCTCTCAGTATCATTAGTAATTACCTGCATACCGCACATGAGATGGAGACTCAATAAATACTTGCTGAATGAGAGACCCAAACAACTACAGAACTTCATCTTCTCATTCTGTAACTACACGATACCAAAACAACAGGCCTAAAAAGCACCCATAATGTCGCACTAGTTTGAATTCTTTTTCCCCTAGGAACTGAGCCTTCTTTTTCTCAGTATATTGATCATAGAACACTTCTCATGTGGTTTTAAGTGCAGGCTAGTAGAAAGTGCGTAATGTGCAAGAGTGGGTGCTGTGGGAATTCACGCCAGTTCTAATGTTACTCACTTGTGCCTTCAGGGTCTGCTCTCACCTAATTTCATGTACACCACTTCTGTTTGATAATGGAGCACACACTTCATCCCTGTATTTGCACTAGATTAATGTGTCTGTGTCAGACTATACACACTTACCTGATACATTCTTTACTATTTTTAAAAACTTGTCAGAGGGCATGTGTACTTTCAAGAGAAAGGCAGAGAAACAGAGAAAGGAAGAGGGAGAAAGCACCCCCAATGGGGTGGCATCGCACCACAGTTCCTTCTCGATTTCTCCATTCTGTCAGAACCCTGGATATGCATACACACATGCTCAGGATGTTTTTTTCCAAGCCACTGGAGCCAAGATTCGAACTGCATGGTCAGCCATGTGGGATCTGGCTCTCTTAACCACTAGGCCTTGGGGCCAGCCCCTACCTGATATATTCCTTAAATGAGATGATATAATCAATTTTATGATCAAACACAATAACCAATCCACATATTTCAGGCTTTTTTCAATTTAATAAAAAGCCAAGGGACAGTTTTCAAAATGGAAATGTAGTAAGCAGACTTGAGGAATTAAGCTAACCTATAGAAACAAACAATAATTATTGCATAATGAGTAATTATCTCAGACACTTCTAATCCTCACAACACCTCTTTGAGGTAAGAACTAGCATTTTTCCAGTTTTACAAAGAGGAGGCTGAAATTCAGAGAACTTAAGAAATTTGTTCATGTGACAGAATTTGAACTTAAGAATGTTTTTTTTTAATAATTGTTTTATTTAACTTTATTTATTTTAATTTGCCCAGAGAGGGGCAGAGTGTGTGTGAGAGAGAGTGAGTGAGTGAGAAAGAGTGAGAAAGTGAGAAAGCAAGCTACCAGGTCTGGCACTCGAACCATGGTCAGCCATGTGAGAAACCAGCACTCTTAGCCACCACACCACCTTCCAGCCCCAAGCATGTTATATTCCAAAGTGATTTCTACTATCATCTCTCAGATACTTGAATGGATCTGTTTCTTCCTCATTATCCTTCTCTCTGTATAACAGTTTAGCCTGATGTTATTACATAAAAACTCAAAATTCTCATACTAAAGATAGTGATAGACATGCATCCAGTTCAAGGCTGCTATACTACTACTAGCTTGACTTATGAATTTATGACACACCATTTAGCATCCCACTGGAGCTCAAAATAAAACAGAAATCTTAAAATCATACTACAAGGATAGCTGTTTTCCAAAAGGTATTATTAGATTTGAATTTTATCAAAGCAAAGTTAAAATGTCCTTTCTAGGGTTCATAAACACCTTCTTCTAGTTCTGATTCTACCAATAATTAGCTGCGTTAACTTGGGCGGATCACTCATCAGTCCGGCCAGTTCATTTTTACTGCCTCTAAAATAAACAAAGTAGGCTAGGAAAGTATATAGTTCTCAAATTTTAGTGTTTATTAGAATCACTTTGAGATATCATCAGACCGTAGAATCCCATACCTTATCTTAAGAGATCATTGCCTTATTTGGGTCTGCAGTTATTCTGGGATAGGTAGTCAGAGGACACACATTGAGACACTCTGAACTACATGTTTTCTATGGCCTCTTCTGTCACCGTCCTCAGAACTCTGTCACCATCCTCAGACTTCTACTTACATGTCCTCTATCACATCTCTGTTGGTTCACTTTCACCATTTTTCCCTTCAATCAGCACAGTGCCAATATGAACAAGCAGTACACTGAACAGGGTCCTAAACCATCAAAAGTGAGCTTCACCCTGTAGTCCTGATTAGATTACTGCCAAACTAGCTAAAACTTTAAATGCCAGGACTAAAAATAGGCTGCTGCATGTTTAAAATATCATGATCACTAGTTAGCTTGGGGCTTTGCTATTTTTACTAAAGGGAAGGCAGAGACAAGTGGCCAGAGGTTGAAAGAGAGTTACTTTAAATGAGGAGGTTGCTGTCCTGGGAACAGCCTAGAAAGAAGTCGGGAGGTGACACTACTAGTTAAACATTCTCTGGAGAGTTTCTCTGTGAATTAAATTTAAAACTTTGGGGGCCAGTCTGTGGCATGGTGGTTAAGGTGGATCCCACAGAGCCAACCACATGGTTTGATTCTCAAATCCGGACACTTGAAAAACACACTGGACTTGTGTGCTTGTGTGCCCAAGGTCATGAAAGTGGGGAAAGGAGGAGAGTGGGTTGTGGCATGACCATTCTCCATGGAGGGTGCTTTCTCACTTTTCCTTCCTTATTCTCTATCTCTCTCCAGCAAGTACATGTACCCTGTAGCAAAATAGAATACATTTGTTCATACATACACACACACATACTTTGTCTAACCTCCCAGGCATATTTAAAAGAAACTGTTGCAGGGACCAGCAGGTGGCATGGAGGATGAGGTGCTGGACTCCCATATGGTCAACTGTGATTCAAATACGGGACCTGGAGGCTGGCTTTCTCACTTTCCCTTTCTCTTTCTCTCTCTCTCTCGTGAGCACATGTGCCCTATAGCAAATTAAAAATTAATAAATAGGGACCAGCAGTTAGCATAATGGCTATGTCGCTGGACTCCCACGTAGTCGACCGCGGTTCGTGTTCCGGACCCGATGGCTTAAAACTCACTCTTGGCGCGTGTGCGTGCATGCCCAAGATCCCGAGAGGAGAATGGAGGAGAAGGGATTGTGGCGTGACCATCCCCCCTGGGGGGGATTTCTTGCTTTCTGTCTCTGTGTCTCTCTCTGTCTGGCGAGCGCAAGCGCCCTATAGCAAAAACCTCTCCAATCAGTCAATCAATAAATAAATGATTCTTTAAAAAAATTGTTGCATACTTAAACCCAAAATTTTGACAGTATCTGATGTCATAAATTAATACAAGACAAAAAAATCAAGTGAAGATTACCAGAACCCTAGAACTCTTTCTTCATAACCCCTTCCAATTAATACCCTCTTTCTATTATAGCATCTATTAGGTTGTTGGGAAAGTCATGACATATTTTTCTCTTTTTCTATACAAAAGTGAGTTATAACTTTCCTGACATCGTGTACCATCATGATTTGCACTACAGTTTAGTTGTGCCTGGTTTTTTTTCTTTTTAAATTTATTTCTTTGATCAGTGAGTGAGGCAGACAGACAGAAAGAGAGACAGCACTCCTACAGTCTTGTTGCTGAAGTTCAAACCCAGCCAGTCCCTGATTATGGACACACACATGCCCCACATGTTCAGAGAGGTCTCCGGTGGCAAAGTGGGAAACTTCCCATGTGGGTCAGTCTCACAGTATTTTACTGCTGTGTCACTGTCTGTCCTCCAGTTTTGCCTGGTTTTCAATGACATCTAAATAATATTGTATGTGCTCTACTGTGTCTGGCACCTCATGTGAAATTCATCGATAGGTATTTAACTGCACAAGCAACATGAACATGCAACATTGAACAGCTATGCGTAAATGTATATTGCTGATTTACCTGTTACACAGAACTCCAGTGAAGAATTGAGATAGACAGAATAGGCCCTGAAGGCACGAGTAATGTGAGAAGCGGCCCACATACTCACGGCCCCCACTCTCACTACTTTACCTTCCTTCTCACAGCCTATACTTGTATTGACATGGGGAAGTTCTCTGTGATAAACTGATGAAGTAAGAAAAGCTCAGGCTTGGCTTACAGGTAGTTCTGCAGAATATGCAGGCACCACCTCGACGTGGACAGTTAGAGCAACTACAACTTCTTTCTGGGACATCTCTGAAGGAAAGTGATAAAGAGAAATCCTCCCAGGACTTCGAGCACTGCACCTGATTGTTGACTTCGTTGGAAGGAGAAATGGCTAGATGTTGAATAATATTCTGACTCATATTCATGGTGGTAGCCAGTGGTTTGGCTGGATGGTCAAGGACTTGGAAGAAATATGATTAGAAAATTGAACATTATCATTAAAATTCAGTATTTTGATATGTGGAAAAATGAAAAAATAAATTAAATTAAAAAAGAAAGTTGGTGACAAGGAAATTTGGGAAGAGGTATTGGACAGACTTCTCTGGGCAAAAAAAAAAAAAAAAAGATATTTGTCCCATGCGAATTCTCAAAAAAGGTAGCTCAAGGGGCCAGCAGGTGGCATGGTGGCGAAGGGCACTGGACTCCCACATAGCCAACTGTGGTTCGAGTCCTGGACCTGGCAGCTTGCTTTCTCACTTTCCTTCTCCCTCGCAATCTCTCTTGCTCTCACTCTGTCTCTGTCAAATTAGAAAGAATGAAAGGAAGGAAGGAAGGAGGGAAGGGAAGAAGGAAGGAAGGGAGGGAGGGATGGAGGGAGGGAGGAAGGGAAGAAGGAACGAAGAAAACAATAATAAATTGGATAAAACAACTAATTCTTTTGATACCAGTTTCTTTCCCAGCCACTTCTATCAAAACAAGGCTAGAAGTTAGAGGCTGGCTGATATCCTCTTTGTTTATAGATCATGAACAAAGTGACCCTGATGGCAGGGACGAAGGTTATACATGGGTTCAGCAACATGAACTTCCACTTATCAAGGCCAACCTGGGTATAGTCCCTGCTGAGTGTCCAATCTGTCAGCAGCTGAGACCAACACTAATCCCAATACGGTACTACTCTTGGGGTGATCAGGCAGCTACATGGTGATAGCCTGATTACACTAGATCACTTCTATCATAGAAGGGGCACCAAGTTGTTTTTGCTGGATATAAATTTGTTTTCCTTCCACACGATTCTGCCAAAACTACCATTCATAGATTTACATGATGCCTTACCTCCCCATCATGGTATTTCACACAATACTGATCAAATAACTTAATTCACAGTAAAAGTAGTACAACAATGGGCCCGTTCTCATGGAATTCACCAGTCTTACCATGTCTCCAGCCATGCTGAAGAAGTTGGTTTGACAGAATGGTAAAATGGTCTTTTGAAGATTCAATTATAACACCAGCTTGGGGGTAATAATTTGCATGGCTGAGGCAAAGTTCTCCAAAAGACTGTATATGCTTTGAATTAGTATCCCAATACGTGGTACTCTTTCTCTCATAGCCAGGAATTAAGGGGTAGAAATGGAAATGGCCCTACTCATTACCCCTTGAAGCCCACTAGCAAAATTTTCCTTCTTGTTTCCTTGACTTTATACTCTGCTGACCTAGAAGTCTTGGTACCAAAGGGAGGAATTCTACTGGGAGAAAATTATTCCCTTGAAATAATATTAAGACTACAGCCTATTAACTTGGGGCTATTCCTGCCTGAGAGTCTACAGGTCAAGAAGAGGGTTCCAGCTTGGGCTGGAGTGATTGATCTGGGTTATCAACAGGGGAAACTAGATTACTACTCCACAAGAATTGCAAAGAGTATATCTGGAATACAGGAGATCCTATAAAATATTTATTAATGTTATCATATCCTGTGAGTAAGGTTAATAGGAAACTACAATTGCCAGTCTAGGCTGGACTATTAATGCTCAAGACCCATCAGGTTAGGTCAACCACCAGGTAAAGAACTATGGCCATCAGAAGTTTTTGTTGAAGGCAGAGGGATATGGACTACATACCAGATATTACATAACTAGTTTTTCTCCTTTTTTTTTTTTAAATTGCCAGAGAGCACTTGCACTCACTGGAGAGATACAGAGACAGAGCTGGAGGAATCACCCCTAATAGGGCATGGTCACATGGCAATCCTTCTCTCCCATTTATCCATCTTGCCAGGACTTAGGGAACACATGCACATGTTCCCAGAATGACTTTAAGTTGCCAGGGCTGGGATTCAAACCCTGATAGGCCATGTGGGATCTGACTCCTTTAACCACTAGACTGTAGGGCTGGCCCAGCTATTTAAACAGCTAACTTTATTTTCAACTCTTTACTTGTCCTTGTTGCTATTTTTAAGTTACAGAATATCAAGAGCAATTATCACCCAAGGACTTTGCATCTTCTTCTGAGGAAACGGTAATCACATTTTCAGTTTTAGACAGGATAGTTGTACCATATTAGGCAAAAGTTTGACTTTATTACTGTCTATTTTGGAGATTAAGTACAGTTTAAGGAATGTGTTGGGATTCTCTTTTTTTTCTTCTAGAGGGCATTTGCTTAAAGAGAGAGAAAACACCACCAAATGGGCTGTGGTCACATTACAATCTTTTTTGCTCTACTTCTTCATTCCCTCAAGATTTGAAGCACACATGTACACATGCCCTGAGTGTTTTTCAAGCTGCCAGGGCCATGAAGCACAGAAGACCATGTGGGATCCAGTTCTGCATGCTCAGTGCTTAGCCACTGTGTAAGAGGTGAGCCTATATGGGTGTATATTTGACAAAGTGTGAACTGTGATGGCTGTGTCAACTTGGCTAAGCTATATTACACAATTATTCAATCAAATACTACCCTAAGTGTTGATGTAGATGTGGTCAATATCTATCAGAGCTGACTGTAAGTAAACGGATTATCCTTGATAATGTGGATAGGCCTCATTCAATCAGCTGACACGCCTTAAGACCAAAACTGATGTTTCTCTGAGGAAGAAATTTGCATGTGGGCTGCATCATCAGCTCTTGACCAAAGAATTTCTAGCCTGCAAGCCTGCCTCACAGTTTTTAGACTTGCCCAGTGAGACCCCAAAATTGTGTAAGTCAATTCTTTGAAATAAATCTCATAATATACGTGTGAATACATAAACATATACATTTATAAGCTTATTTTAAAAAGACATATTTGTGGATTTAGAAAATGCTCAGGCATTGTGCTCAGGCACTGTGGAGGGGATGAAGGAAAGGATCAAGAGCAGACAGCTTGAAGGCCCAGGCCCGTAGAGCAGTGGTTAAGTGGAGAGTACAAACAAACCTAACATGGAGAGACTGGGCTTATAACTTAGTGGTTAGGGAAGCTGTGTACTGCATGGCCAATTATGGTTCTAATCCCAGCCTCAGAGGCTTGAAAAACATATCAGGTACATGTGTGCATGTTCCTAAAATCCTGAGAGGATGAAAACATAGAGGAGAAAGGACTGCAGCATGACTATCCTCCATTGGGGAGCACTTTCTCTCCCCCCGGCTCCTTCTCTCTCTAGTAAGTACACGTATCCTCTGGTAATTAAAAAATAAATAAAAGGGGGGGCGCAGCCAATGTGTCATGTTGGTTAAGGCAACTGGATTTCACATGACTGCTCTGTAGTTTGAGTCTCAGGCTTGGTGCTTTGGAAAACACACTGGGTGTGTATGCCTGCGTGCCCAAAATCCCAAGACAAGAGTGGGGAAGAAGGAATTGCAGCATGCCTATCCCCTCTGGGAGTGCTTTTTCACTTCTCTCTCTCTGTCTCTTTCCCCAGCAAGTGCACATGCCCTATAGAAACTAAAATGAACAAACCAAAGACTAAAGAAAACCTAACTAGGAGGTTAGAAGCCTTAACAGATTGAATTCCTCTCTACCCCTTGATAGCAGTATGATCTTGGACAAATTACCTATTACTTTTATCCTCAGAGTGGTTTTTTTGTTTATTTGCTTATTTTTAGAAGGTACATGTACTCATCAGATACAGAGAAAGCAACTGTTAGTGGGGCATAATCACATCACAATCCTTTTTTCTCTACTCCTTCCCCTCTAGATTTTGGGCAGGCACACACAGGTACCTAAGCATGTTTCTCAAGCCACCACAGCCAGGATTCAAGCTATAGTTGGCCATGTGGGACCCAACTCCCTTAAATGCCCAAAGTCTCAAAATCTTAAATACAAAATTAGGATAATGGTACATATCCTGTGTATCCTAAAGTTATGATTTAAAAAATGAGATAAAATAAAGTTCTTACCACAGTTTTTTATTTTCTTCAAAGGAAGTGTTCAATCAATGTTAGGTGAGTACAAAAACATCTCTACGCTAAAAGGAATACTACTACAAAAGAAACCTAAACAACACAAATTTTCAAATAGTTATAAGAGGACATATCTCAGATAAATCCATTTTACATCAGTATCAAAAGCTAATTTTTCAAAAGATGAATTATTTGACTTTTTTTAAAGAATTATTTTTTTTAACTTTATTTATTTGTTTGTTTGTTTGTTTTAATTTGACCAAAGACGGACAGAGAAAAAGAGAGAGTGAAAAGCAAGCCACTAGGTCTGGGACTCGAACCGCATTCGGCCATGTGGGAATATAGCACCTTAACCACCATGCCACCTGCTGGTCCCCTGAACTATTTGACTTTTAAGAAATTATTCTACTTAGATTCTAAAATCTAGACATAATTTTACCGTTTGCATTTTGTGCAAGAACTCTCAGTGTGTGTGTATATATATACACACACATGTATATATACATATTTACAATGAAAAACTGTTGTATAACATCCAGAAAGTATGCTCTGCATTCATATTATAGTACCTTGAGGAATATCTTTAGGAGGAGAATATTTCTTCTTTTTTACAATAACACCTTTACTTTTCACTTGCCTAGTTCCTGGTGATGCTCTAATAATACAACATATTTCTGATGCATTTGAAGGAAACTGAAAAAAAAGGCAGATATTACATAATTCATCCAAGCTCTATATTTGTATATTATTTCAAATGTAAATAGTCTCATTACTAATATTTCATATATATTAATAACAGCAAACATCAAATAAATGCTTACCCTATTTCAGACTTTAATTGGTTATAAAACATTTGCTCATTTAATACCTACATGAACCACTAAAGGAGATTATATTATACCTATTTTATTTATCTTTATTTATTTATTTATTTATTTATTTTTGGAGAGATTTTCGCTATAGGGCGCGTGCATTCACCAGACAGACAGAGAGAGACATAGAGACAGAAAACGAGAAATCACCCCCCCCCAGGGGGGATGGCCATGCCGCAATCCCTTCTCCTCCATTCTCCTCTCGGGATCTTGGGCACGCACGCACACGCACCTGGCGTGAGTTTTAAGCCACTGGGTCCGGGACGCAAACCGTGGTCGACTATGTGGGAGTCCAGCAACATAGCCATTATGCTAACTGCTGGTTCCCAATTATACCTATTTTACAAGTGAGGAAACAGTTTCAGATAGCATGGATGACTTACTTCAAGAAAGAAAGCAAGTAAAATGGTAGAGTTGAAATTCAAGCACTTCAAAGTAGGAGAGAGTTTTCATGATTTATTGAGTTAAAACACAAATTAAAATTTAACTCTGAGTCAAACACTAGATTTCTTGATTTTTCAACTTGAGTTAATTTTAACAAGTTCCCATCAAGGAGACAGTCTCTAGAATAAAGAAATACCTTATCTTTCAGAAGTGAGATATCTTACTTCCTAGAACTCAAAAATAGAGATACATATAGGGCTCCTCTTAATTTTAAATAAAACCTACATGGAAGCTGTTCTATTGTAAAATTCAAATTATCCTCTGATGAACAGCTGCTATTTTCCTGTCCAGCATTCATATTCCATTCTTCTGGTACTTAACAGTGTCGAAGTTCTCTGGGAGAACCCACCTCTACCAGCCTGCATACCGCACTTTCCTATGTACCAGGTGTATAATAATAGTATGGTAATATGTATGAAAACACATCTATAATACTTCTCATCACCATGGTGGCTATAAGACCTAGCCTAGGCAATCAACATATTCCACAATCCTGGACACAGTCCGTGGGGAAATAAGAAAAAGGAAATACTAAACTTGAGATTCCAGCACTAAGCAAGACTCCTGAAATGTGGCTAGAGAGTTCCCAGTCTGGTGCCCAGCCTTAGCTCTACTAGCTAATGCAGTAGCAACAGATATAAACCAAAGGCCTAACATTCCCCATCTTTCTTTCTGCATTAGCTCAGCACATCCTTTCCTGTCCTTTTATTTTCAGCCTTCTTATAGCCTCTTGTTTGGGGATAGCTCTCATATAGCTATATTTTCCTTACAGTGTACCAATATCTGTCTTGTAACTGTCAAGTTTAGTTCATGTATATGCAGTGTGAGTAATGATAGATTTGTTTCTGTCATCTTAATTATTTTATTTAATCAAACAAAAGATAATCCAAGACAAAACAACACATTTTTAGGCATAAATTATTAGGCTTGATAAAGAAAGAAAAAGGATCTGATTCACTAGAAAAATATAACAATTTTAAACATATATGAAAGTAATAAAGTAGCCTTGAAATATCTAAAGCCAAAAAATATAGAGCCACAGGGAAAAACCAACAAATCAACCATCAAAATAGTGGCTAATTTCAACATATTCCTCTTTATTATTGATGGCTTAAACAGATAAAATATTAGAAATGATATTTAAAAATCATCATCAATAGCAAGTTTCATTTAACGGACATATGGAGAAACTTGACCTTTCCACCATTAGAGGAAAAAAACTCAGTATCTTCAAACACATGAAACATTTCACTAAAACTTCATTTTTTATTACATTTAATCATTGAACATCTTTACAATATACATAATGGTTTTTCTCAGCATGAATACAGAGCATATCAATCAAGTCAAAGATACTATCACATAATCATCAACAGATGAGTTTTCATTTTTGCATTTGTTAAATATTTTTTTCTTTCCCTGATCCCCTTTCTCCCATCCCCTATTACCTACCCCCCTCCTATACCATCTGTAGTATCTGCAGTTGCCCTCATGGTAATTATACCTTCCAGTCCCTCAGTTTCTGCCATAGAGTACATTTAGTATATATTGAGCAGGAGTATACAATGCCTCTCATTCACAGTTTGGCCTGCTTCACTTAGCATTACATCTTTCATATTTGTCTACTTTATATCACATATCAAGGTCATTGGTTTTTATGGCTGAGTAGTATTGTATAGTATATATGTGCCACATTTTTTCAGTTAGTTAGTCTGTTCTTAGACATTTGGGTTGATTCCATGTCTTAGCAACTGTGAATAATGCTGCAATAAACATGATATGGAAGTGTCTTTCCAACTGACTGTTTCCATATCCTTTGGGTAGATACCCAGGAGTGGAATTGCTGGGTCATATGGTAGTTCTATTTGTAAATCTCTGAGGAATCTCCATATTATTCTTCACAATGGTGTACTATAGTAGTCAGAAAATTCATGACACATTTTTGCATAGAAAAACATGAAAAAATATGTCATGATTTTTCCGACAACCCAATAATTTACATTCCCACCAAAAGAGTAGGAGGGTTCCCTTTGCACCTCAGCATTGTCAGCATTTATCATTCTTCATGTTTTTAATCTTAGCCATTCTGACTGGAGTTAAGTGGTATCTCATTATGGTCTTGATTTGCACTTTCCTTATGACAAGAGACTTTGAACATTTTTTTCATATGCCTTTTGACCAGTCATAAGCCTTCCTTGGAAAGTTGTCTATTCAGCGCATTTGTTCATCTTTTAATTGGATTAATTATTTTTCTCACTAACATGGAGAGAGAGGGAGAGAGCGCCCCTCAAAGGGCTGGGTCATGCTAAAACCCCTTTTGTTTCACTTCTCCATTCCATCAGGATTTTGTATACACAAACAAATGTGTCTGGTGTGTTTTAAAGCAACTGGGTCTGGGACTCAAACTGTGTACTTGACAATGTGGAATCCAGCTGCCTTAACCATCATGCCACTGGTTAATTTCAGATTTCTTAAATGATCTCCTATACAGAGTATCTAATGAAAGGGTTAAAAGCCTACTAGGTATTTTGAGGATTAGAAAGGGTCAACTCAGTGCCTCAGTGTCTCCCAGACACTAGGCTGAGTCAGTGTTACACTTGATGGGATCTTCAAACATTCCTTCTCTTCCTCTTCTTTCTCCCTTTTTCTCCTCTGGCTAGCTGGCCCTATCCACCTCACCACAGATGGCTAACTTTTGTCTGTCTACAGACATGGAGATTGAGACCCATCTGTTGCTGACTCTAAAAAATCAACGAACTTCCAAACATATGGCAGATCAAAGTGGTCAACCAGAGATATCAATGAAATAATACAGAGAATGTGGAAATCAACGGGCATCTTGTCTCAGAATTGCCCTAATTAACCTACCCTAAACCCCTTGCCTTTAAAACCTAGTAAGGGGCCAGTTGGTGGGGTGGTAGTTAAGATGCTGGACTCCTACATGGTTGACTGCAGTTCGAGTTTTGGATCTGGTGGCTTGAAACTCATTGTAGGTGCTTGTGCATGCATACCCTGAGTGCCAAGAGGAGAATGGAAAAGAAGGGACTGCAGTATGGCCATCCCCCTGGGGGGGGGAGGGTGACTTCTTGCTCTCTGTGTCTTTGTCTTTCTGTCTCTCCAGCAACTGCAAGAGTCCTATAGCAAAAACCTCTAAAGAAACAACCCTGTAAAAGATGCTGACCCGCATCCTTCAGGGTCATGTGATACAACTCTGCATCTATCCCCTTACTTCCCTTTGGAAAGTGAAAAAAATCTTTTCTATTCTTTTCTCTCTGAATTTGCAAATTCTCTCACAGTATGCAACCAGTGGTGCCCTACCTAACATGCTGCAGAGATCACCCTAATAAAACAGTAATAATTTCTTTAGCAGTTGAATGAAAATATCACCTCATTTGAAGAATCTTCTTGCAAACTTGACACAGGAACAATTTCATTTGAATTAACATAATTGCTGACATTCGGAAATAGTTCTTCAAGAGACGCTTTTTGCACTGAGGATAAATCAATCTATAAAAGAATATATTACTCTTTTGTAGAAGTTAAATGTTGCAAAAGCAATTATTTTTAAGTAATTAAAGGAAAATTTAAAATATTCTTTCACTGGAAGTATTTTCTTATAAGTTTGACATATGAATAATTTCCTCTGAACAAATAAAATTAGTGACACTTGGAAACAAGACTTCAACAGATGCATGTTTAACTGGGACAAATAAATCTATGATAAAGATCAAAATACTTTTCTGATTTAAAGTTATTTTTTAAATAGAAAATTTTGTTTGCTATACAACATAATTTTTCTATTCATTCATCCAGTAAGTACCCAATGTCTTCTAAATGAAATTTATCTACATAGCAACCATACCTCCTAGAATAATTTCCTCTGGCTCTTCCTTTAAATGTAAACCTCTAGGGGGACCAGCAGGTGGTGTGGTGGTTAAGGTACTGGATATTCCCACATGGCTGACCACGGTTTGAGTCTCAGACCTGGTGGCTTTCTCTTTTTCTCTCTCTCTCTCTGGTCAAATTAAAAATAAATGAATGAATAAATAAAATTAAATATATAATTTTTAAAAATTTAACATTCATTCACTGTACATCATTATAGCATATAAAATGAGATTTTTCCATTCAGAATACACTGTATATTGGCTCAATCAAGCACATCAACATATGTGTTATTGTCAACAAATAATTTTCCATTTCTTGTTTCCTGTATATTTTGCCTTTTTTCCCCATCCTTGACTCCTATCTCACCCTCTGCCATCTCCCACCCTCCTCCCACACTGTGTCTGGTATCTATTGTTGCTTTCTATGCCTCCCCCATTTTATTGTTCCACTAAATATCTTAATAAATCTAAATATTTTCAATAGCAAGCACAGCTGATATATACATATCCATGAACACAAGTCTGACTTTAGGCATAAACCTCAGTGAATAGAATGAACATACTATAAAGTAGCACCTAGCTAGGGCTATATAGCTTACTGCAGTCATCAAATGGGTATTTTTAATGCTTTTTTTTCATTCCACTCTCTTATTACACTATCTCTGCTGTCTACAGTTGTCTTCAATCCCTTTTCCCCCAACATTTCGTTGGTCACACAATATCATAAGTAATCTAACTACTTTCAATAGCAAGATCAGCCGATGGTTTCAAGAAAAGCAGTTTTGAACTGGTAAGGATATTTCTTTGAAACTTAAAGCCTAGAAACAGGTTAGTATTCTGTTCAAATAGTCGGAACATGAATCTATTGATAGCTGAAGACAGGACAAAAGTCCTTAAAACCAGACAACAAAGCTTAGAAGAAAAGCAGCAATATTTTAGTCAAGTCGTAGAATACTGTTTCATCAGTTCAGTCTCATGTACTTAATCTTTCTTCTGTATCTGTTGAGGTTCGATGTTCCAGATTGAAATCTGGGATGTAATACTCAACTCCAGCTTTTGGCCCTACAATTAAGTTGCCCATTTTCTTAGTTTCTGAACTCTTATTTCTGTGTGTCTGCATTTAATTTTACTGACATAGCACTCCCTTAAGAACTTCTTGGAGATCCGGTCTGGTGCTGGTAAATTCTTTCAGGTTTTGTTTATCTGGGAAAGTTCGTGTCTTTTCTTCCCAAATGAACGATAACCTTGCTGGGTACAGAATTCTCGGTTGAAATTGCTTTTCCCTTAATACTTTGAATACATTTTCCCATTCTCTCCTCGCTCTCATTGTTTCCGATGAGAGGTCTGCCGTTAGTCTGATGGGATACCCTTTGTAGGTAACTTGCCTTTTTTCTCTTGCCAGTCTTAGTATCTTGTCTTTGTCTGTGGTTTTGGTCAATCTGGCTATAATGTGTCTTGGAGCAGATCTTCTTGGGTTGATTCTATTTGGGGTCCTCTGTATTTCTTGGGACTGAATCTTTGAGTGCCTCTCAGGTTTGGAAAATTTTCTTGTAGGATTTCATGGAATAGATTATCAATGCCCTTATGAGTTTCTTTGCCTTCTGGGATGTCTATTATCCAGATGTTTGGACATTTAATTGTATCTAGTATTTCTCGTATATTATTCTCAAATTTCTGAGCCATTTTCTCAGTCTTCATGGTGGATTTTTCTAGGCCAGCAATTTTCTCTTCTACATCTGAGATTCTATTTTCTGTATGATCTAGTCTGCTTTTAATACTTTCTAGGGAAATTTTGACTTCTTGTATTATAGCCTTCATCTCTAACAGTTCCATCTGCTTCTTTTGTAAAGTATGAAATTCCTCTTTTAGATCTTGCATGAATTTCCTCACCTCCTGGAACTCTTCAACTCCTTTCTCCTTCCTCTTCAGCAGTTCCTTGTCTCTCTTCTCTTCCATCTCTGTAAGTTTTGCCATTATGAATGTCCTGAATTCTTTACCAGACATTTCCATGATTTCCATTGAACTGTGTGTGGATGAAGAGGAGTTATCCATTCCCCTTGGAGGAGAGGTATTTTCCTGCTTTCCCATATTTCTTGTGGTCCTGCAGCGATTTCTAGTCATCTGGTGGATGGTCGGTTTCTTCCCAAACTTGGAAGTTCAATCACGTGAGTTTTGTATGCTGGAGGCCAAATTATCAGTGGGAACTATTCATTTCTCCATTTCCCCCAAAATGGCTAGATCGCAGGAGCCATGGAGCTGTCTCTTACAGAAGAATATATAATTATTTTTTTAAAAATGTAAACTTCTAGTGTCCTACCCTTGTCCCCTTGCCTACAAACTGAATATTAAAGATTTAAAATCTCTCTCTCTAACACAGAAGTCTCTCTTAAATGCCATGTTCATATCTCTACCAGGTTGCAAATCACCACATATTTCTGTAAATTCAAAATACCTAAATTAGGGTCATCAAATATACAGCTGAGGTCTCCAAAAAGTTCTGGCATGTTGACCAGCTGGACTAAACTAGGTCAATCTGACCTGAACCTAGGCTAGACCACATGGATAGGTGTCTGGAAGAGATTATCAGATGCATTGGGTAGGAGTTGGGTGAAGGGGTGTGCATCTGTCCTTGCCCGCTCCTTTCTTCCTAGGAGGACAGAACAATTTCATGCCTATCCATGTGTATCTTAGGAAGGTCATATGAAAGTGAGATGAAAATCTCCCAGAGGTCTTTGATCAACAAGCCATTTTAGAGTGGTCAGCCAAGGTCCAATAGTTTATAACTGAGGGGGATATACATGCCTCATTCGGTGGCAGCTATCTGTGAAATGAACCAAAGAGCAATTAGACTCAGGCTGATTTGCTAACAAAATTTTGACCTTAAAATCTCATTCTCAAAAGTGCTTTTATTTATTAGAAAGCACTTATCTGATAAGAGTCTAGTATCCAGAATATATAAAAATCTATTACAACTCAACCTTAAAAATAATTTAAAAATGGGCAAATGACCTGAATTCACATTTCTCCAAAGAAGATCTATATATGGCCAATAAGCCCAATTGCAAAATTATAATGAGATATCATTTCACACCTAAAAATATGGATAATTACAAGTGAAGTCAGAATGTGAAGAAATCAGAACACTCATACACTGCTGTTAGAAATGCAAACTTGTTAAGTCACATTTGAAAGGTCTGGTGATTTTTCAAATGAGTTCCCATGTAACTCAGCAATTTCACCTGTAGGTATACACCAGAGAGAAATGAAAACATATGTTCACACAAAAGCTTGCACACAATACTTATAACAACATTATTCATAATATCCAAAGGTGGTAACAACTCAAATTTCCATCAACAGAATGGAATGTTATTTGGCTATGAAAAGGAATGAAATACTAATACATGCTGCTATATTGATGAGCCTGGAAAACATTATACCAAGTGAAAGAAGTCAGTCATAACTTCTTATTACTATATATTACATGATTCGATTCACATAAATTGTCCATAACTGAAAATCTATAGATAGAAAGAAGATTAGTGTTTGCTTAGGGCTGGAAAATGGTATGAAGGAGCAAGAGGTCATTAGTCAAAGAGTATAGGTTCCTTTTTGAGGTAATAAAAATGTTTCTAAAATTGACAGTTTACCATGGCAAATTGTACAAAATGTGAACTATATCTCACTTTTCAAAAGATGCTGGTATTTGTAAAATAAACACTAAAGCAGTTTTGCAGAGAAAAATTCATTTTGGTACTTCTATTCTATACCCTTTATACCCAAATATCAACAAATAATCAATTAAAAATAAAACATTTGGCCCAGATATGAGTAGTGCAGATGAGAGGATACTGCTGCATGGTGGCTGAGGCTGCATGGGAAGCCTAGGTTTGAGTGCTAGACCAATCTAAAATAGGCTGGTACAGTGATACACACCTGTGGTTCTAGCTAACTGGGAGACTGAGGCAGGAGAATCGTAACATGGCAAGCTCTGTCAAGAATGCTCATTTTGGGCCAGCAGGGGGAGGTTAAGGTGGCTGGATCCTACTCGGCTGACTACAGGGTTTGAGTCCTAGATCAAACCGTCCTGGATCCAGTGGCTTGAAAATCATGCCAGGCGTTGTGTGTGTGCATGCCCAAAATCCCAATAGGAGAATGGAGGAGAAGGAATTGTGGTGCAGCCATCCCTTCTGGGTGGTGATTTCTTCTCACTTTCTCACTCTCTCTGCTCCTCTCTCTGTCTCTCTGTCTCTGGTGAGCACATGAATCCTATAGCAAAACTAAAAAAATAAAAGAATGCTATCTCTGTAAGCCTATGTCCTTCCCATGTGCTTTTGCATGCACTCTCTCTCATAAAGGAAGAACACACTTATTTTCTGAAAAAAAGTATTAATTTTGAAAACACTGGAAAGATTGTGGGCAATGAAAACCCTTTCCCTAGCATGAGCATCTGTTCTTTGGTTAATTCTGTAATTCTGTTCTCTTTGGAACTTTTTTACCCTTGGAAGGGTGAAAGTGTCAACTGATTACTAGGCAACATTACTTATAGTAAAAAATGGAAAACTGAATCTCTGGAAGGAAATATACATGCATTATAAACTAATAAATATGACAAAAGACACCATACTTTGAGTTTTCCTGCATGGATGACTCTTATAATTAGGCATATCCTTTGTGTCCCTGAAAGCTACATATATGTGTTGTTAAAATTGGACTAAATTGGGGACCAGCAGTTGGCGTAATGGCTATGTCGCTGGACTCCCACGTAGTCGACCATGGTTCGAGTCCTGGACTCGGTGGCTTAAACTCACACCGGGTGCGTGTGCATGCATGCCCAAGATCCCGAGAAGAAAATGGAGAAAAAGGGATTGCAGCATAGCCATCCCCCCGGGGGGCTGACTTCTCGCTTTCTGTCTCTACATCTCTCTCTGTCTGTCTGGCAAGCACATGCGCCCTATAGCAAAAACCTCTCCAAAAAAAAAAATTGGACCAAATTGAATAAAAAAATTTCTTCATCAAAGAACACTACCAAGAGAGTGAAAAGCAACTCATAGAGTATGAGAAAATATCTGAAAATCATACATATGATAATTCCTTAAATCCAGAATATAAAAAGAACTTCTACAACCCAATAATAATAAAATGAACAACTTGACTCAAAAAAGAACAATGACTTGAATAGACATTTTTCTAAAAAAAGATACACAAATGGGCAACAAGCACACAAAAAGATACTTAACACCACTAATCATTAAATAAAGCACAAAGTTAGATATTTCCTTACACCCATGAGAACTGCAAATATCAAAAACAACAATGACAGAAAATAACAAGTATTGGTGGAAATATAGAACAATTGGAAATCTTGTGCATTGCTAGTGGAAATATAAAATAGTGGAGCCATTTTGGAAAAACAGTGTGGTAGTTACTCAAAAATTAATAAATAGAATTACCACATGGCCCAGCAATTCCACTTCTGGATGTATACTCCGAAAAACTGAAAGTGGGGACTCTAACTGATATTTATACACCCACAACATGGGTTCATAGCAGCATTATTCATAAAGTCAAAAGGTAGAAACAATCCAAATGTTCATTGACAGATGAATGGATAAACAAAATGTGGTCTATACACATAATGGAATATTATTCAGCCTTTATTAAGAAATTCTGACAACACGGCTACAACATAGATGGACTTGAAGACATCATGCAAGTGAAAGAAGCCATCAGAAAAGAACAGATATTGTGTGATTCCATTTATATGTGGTATCTAGAGTAGTCAAATTCATAGAAACGGAAAGTAGAATGGTGGTAATAAAACAGTCAAAGTCAGAGAGGCAGGAAGTAGAAAGGTGACTGCGGGGGACGGGGGGTAGGGGGGCAGCAGATGGCATAATGGTTACATTGTTGAACTCTCACATGGCTGACTGCAGCTCAAGTCCCAGACCTGGAGGCTTGAAACTCACACCAGCACTTGTGCATATATGCCCAAAATCCCAAGGAGAAGGGATTGTGGTGTGGTCATCCCCCCTTAAGAGGTGATTTCTTGCTTTATGTTTCTCTGTTTCTCCAGCAAGTGAACACACCCTATAGCAAAAATCTCTCTCTCAAATAAAAACAAAAGGTGGTTGCAAGGGGCTATAGGAGTGAAGAATAGGAAATTATTGTTAATAGATATGGAGTTTCAATTTTGTGAGATGAAAAAAAATTCTAGAGATGGATAGTGGTTACGGTTGCACAACAATGTGAATGTACCTGAACTGAGAACCTAAAAATTGCTAAAATTTTATATAATTTTACTAAAATAAGTAAAAATAAGATAAAAGAAGAACCCTGATTGGTGCTACAGTATACTAATCTTTCTTTCTCCTATACCTGTATAACAGTATATACAGTACTTCCAATGCAAGTGTGTTTATGCAACAGAAAAATACAACTATTATTCTCTGTAGGCAATATTGCCCTGATATGACAAAAATAGAAGACTGGAAAGAGGCAGGAGACAGAAAACAGATACTACATGTGATAAATGCTAATACTCACCACAAAACCAGCTGTCTCTGAAGATGGAGTACTTGTTAACAGGCCTCGGCTTTTCTTATCTGGAGTACTGGAATTCGTTTTCTATAAATGTTTTATAAAGCAGGGGATTGAATAGCAGAAACAAACTACTATAGTAAAATCATCATTTTAAAGTTAGTAAACTAGATCATAATGGGTAATACTAATACTTTAATCTGCTAATTAAATTTTAAACCACTTGACAGAAAAATAAAGGATCTCTGACTGGAGCTAGGTCAAACAACTCCCCACGGAATTCTCTGTGGCATAACGACTCTATGAGAATACCCTGATTGAAATTACTATTAAAAAGAAAAGCTAATTAGAGTGTCAAATTGGGAAATAATGCTTTGATCATCTTTGTTAACTGCTAAGAAAGTCTATTTATTTTTATTATTTGTTTAGTTCAATATTACTGTATTTTTTATGGAAAAGGATTGCAAGTTATTTTTGAAGCTGTTAAAAGATATATGTAGCAAGGATAATTGGTTTAAAAGAATAAGTTTAAATGTACACAGATACTTTCATTTATAAAACATCAAAGTTAGAGAAATTATAAAACAGGAGGCAGACTCATATTCTATTTTTTGAAGATATAAAAAGGCACACAGAAAGACAGGTGGCCAAAGCAAGAAAAAGTGAGCAAGGAGAGAAAAGACGAGATCAACAAAACAAAACAAAACAAAAAAACAACAAAAAATCAAGAGAGAAGAGAGTAAAAGAAGGTGAGAGGAGACAGAGAAATAAGAGAGAGGACAAATAGTAACTGTGACAAGAAGGAGATTGAGAGACAGAAAAAGATACAAAAGGAGATCAAGACAGTCAGGGAGAAGAGAGAGACAGTTTGAGACTGAATGAAACAAAGCCCGAAACACAGGCAGAATGGCAGAGCAGAAAGAGTAATAGTCAAAGAGACAGAGAGAGAGCCAGACAGTTTTCTTTTTCCTTCCTTCCTTCCTTCCTTCCTTCCTTCCTTCCTTCCTTCCTTCCCACACCCGCACTCACTCCCTCCCTTCCTTCCTTCCTTCCTTCCTTCCTTCCTTCCTTCCTTCCTTCCTTCCTTTCTCTTAAAGGTGTTAGCCTTAGGACATGTACACTCACCACAAAGAGACAGAAAGAGAGAGATAAAGACAGTGAGAAGGAAAGTGAGAAATCAACCCACGGGGGGAGGGCCACACCACAATCCCTTCTCCTCCATTTCCCTCCTGAGATCTTGGACATGTACCTGGCATGACCTTCAAGCTACCAGGTTCAAGACTGAAGCCCTGGTTAGCCATGTGGGAGTACAGCAATGTAACTGCTACGCCATCTGCTGGCCGCCAGACAGTTTTATTTCTAGAAACGCTGCCTTCCCAACGTTTGGATTCCATGAAATAACCATGTTCTGATGAATCTCTCTTTTTGGATAGGTATCTATTATATAATGACAAATCTGAAACCCAAACTCAAAGAAAAAGCTTGAATTGCACAGGAGAGCTTTTATTAGATGTCTTTATTCTTGTCTTTCATTCTGGCTTAAATTAGTTGTTGGCATAAAACATAATCTGCAGATTTTTTGAGATAAAATTCATGGGCATTTTTACCTGGTACACTGAATGTCAGCTCTCTAACTTATAAGCTTTATAATCTTTTAATTTCCTCATCTAACACTAGAGGTTGTAGTGCAATGGTTAAAATACTACATGTAAAGAGTACTATGGGGTCTACTATTAGTAGTATTGTGGCAGCCTTGGAAGTGCTCTTTGCAGAACTGCTTGAGCAAAGAACCTGCTGTTCCATTGCAAAGAGTACAGTTAACTGGAAGTTTTTAGCTGAAACTTTTTCAGAATCTGCTTTAGCTTTTAAGCTGAGACCATTGTCTTCTCGGGCAGCCACCAGTCAATGCATGGGCATAGCAGCTCTACATAGACTTTTGCAAAAGATAACTTTTGCTCCAGAACTTCTCACTGAGAAAACTTTCGGCAGATCTGCACTGAAGACAGACCATCCCTGGCCAATTCAGCTTCCTTCCTGCTTTCCTTTATCAGGTATTAGCCCCTCCAATAAGTTACCTAAACACTTAAATATCTGCTTCACAGTGGTCTCAAATGATACAACTGTCAACTGTCAATTTGATGTTAAAAAAGCATTCTCCATATAGGTATATAGCTTCCCTATATTTTTTGCTTAGACTTGTTAAATTATGCATTTCTAGGCCCAGTCACAGTGGCATTCACTTCTAAGATCTTATGATCCACAGGCTGGAACCAGATAGGAGGCCCAGATTCAACTCCCAGGTCAACCTAAAGGCTGGATGTGGTGGTGTACACATTTAATGCCAGTGACTTGGAAGGCTGAGGCAGGATTGAAAACTCGGGCTAGCCTGGGTAACATAGTGAGACCCTGTCTAACCAGTTAGGTATAGTGTGGTGGTGTGGTGGCATATGACTTTAGACTCCGGTGGGAAGCTAAGGCAAGAGGTTCATGACTGTGAGACCCAGTGAAGAAGAAGAAGAGGAAGAAGAGGAGGAGGAAGAAGAAGGGGGAGAAGAAGAGGAAGGAGAAGAAGAGGAAGAAGAAGAAGAAGAAGCAGTAGTAGCAGCATCAGAGAAAGAAATTGTGCATTTCTAAATCATCCCAGCCAGCATATTTTCTTTTTATAGTCTTTCAAGAATTATTAGTTAATAAAAGACTAGTGCTTACCAGTGCAGGTTCCAGGGGCTGACACGGTGGAACTTTATTGGATCTACCCGCATCTCTCTTATGAGCAGAACTACGGTGAGAAGACGGCACCTTGATTTTTAGATGAGAGTTTAGCTTTGATTGAAAATTTGTATCCCTATGTTCAGAATCTTCTTTGAACTGAAACAAATTTACAATCATGAAATACATTCACGGTGCTATAAAAACATTTCCAGTTCTTCTCAGATGTCCTGTTATTCTTTTGACTTGAAAAAAAAAAGATTTAAAGTTAAGTGATTTTCCAGGAAAAATAATGTGTTCTATATATTTAAGTTAAAAAAAAAAGTTGAAAGACAAAATAGTTTGAAATGTGCAGCTCACAAAATGGCACTACAACAGTTAAAGTAACTTTTCCCAAATAGTGTTCTATGCAAACAAATGAAAATTAGTTATTTTATCAATATTTAAAGCTAAATTTTAGGAAAAAAACATGAAAATATTTATATAACTGTCTTTATTTTGCAATAATATGCCAAACTATCTTCCAAAGTGGCTATGCCCTTTTGCGTTCCCACCAGCAATGAATAGAATTCCTACTGCTATACATACTCACCAGCATTTGGTAAGGTCAATGTTTTGAATTTTGGCCATTCTGGTAGGTGTATACTTGTAAGTCATTGTTCTTCTAATTTGCAATTTCCTAATGACATATGATGTTGAACAACCTTCCATGGACTTATTGCCATCTGCACATTTTCTTTGATGAATTGCCTGTTCCAGTTTTTCACCCATTTTTAAAAATCAGGATTTTTGTCTTAGGACTTCCACTGTCTCCCGACTATTCCAGATGCCCGGACCTTGCCACTTCCACCTCCTTAATCTGCCATTAGCCCTGGAACCTGCATGGTGGCAGCTAGTGAGAAAACTTACTGAGGCTGGAGATCACCTTGGGACCTCCAGGGTCTACTGACAGTTCCAGGTGCCCAGATCTTTCCAATTCTACCTCTCCTGTCTGCCATTAGGCCCAAAACCTGTGTAGCAGCAGCTTGTAAGAAAACTGAGGCCAGAGATCGTCTTGGGACCTCTACTGTCTTCAGACAGTTCCAGACTTCATAGTTTCCTGAAGTGCATTTCATGACCCCTATTTTCTTTCCCAGTTGAAACCCTGCAGCTCAGCCTCAGGTGTACCTATTCTTTTTTTTTTTTTTAAAGAATTATTTTATTTAACTTTATTTATCTATTTTAATTTGACCAGAGCAGGATAGAGAGAGAAAGAGAGAGAGAAAGTGAGAAAGCAAGCCATCAGGTCTGAGACTTGAACCATGGTTGGCCATGTGGGAGTCCAGCACCCTTAACTACCACGCCACCTGCCAGCCTCCCAGGTGCACCTATTCTTGAGAAACTAGGAGGCCACTAGAATATCTAGTTCCAGTGACAATGGTACATGTTGCAAGGTGAGCATTATAGAGATGGTTCTGCAGAGAGCCTTTGGCTCACCACCTCCTGTAGGCATTTGAACTCTCAGAATTAACTCTAAGAAATTAGGAAGAAATGTATAATCCATCAAGTGATCAGAAGCCAGTGCAGAGGCAGAATAAATATGAAATACCAAGACAATTTCTCTCTCCCAAAGGAAAAGAACAATTCCTTATCATCCACAGACAGTACGATAGAACTTGTGGAAATGTCAGATAAACAGTTCAGAATATTCATAGTGGCAAAACTAAATGAGATACAAGAGAAAAGAGACAACAAACTCTAGGATATAAGGAAGTCCTTCTATGATCTAAAAGAAAAAATAGACACCATAAAAAAGAATCAAATGAAACTGTTAGAGAGGAAGGCTACCATACAGGAAATCAGAGCCTCCTTCTAAAGTATTAAAAGCAGATTAGATTATGCAGAAGATTGAATCTCAGATCTAGAAGACAAAACCTCTGACCTAGGAAAAAAATAACCAAAAAGAATGAAAAATAACACCCCCCAAAAAAAATACATGTCCAAACATCTGAATAATAATAATCTGGGTGAAAATGAAGAAACTAGTAAGTTTCACCCAGAAGGTGAAGAAACTAATAAGGGAATTGATCATCTATTCCATGAAATCCTGGAAGAAAACTTTTCACACCTAGAGAAGCATTTGAACATGCAGACCCAAGAAATACAAAGGAATTAACCCAAGAAGAATCAACCCAAGAAGATCCTCTCCATGGCACATCATAGCCAGATTGGTCAAAATCACAGGTAAAGACAAGATATTAAAAATGACAAGGGATCAGCAGTTGGTGTAATGGCTTATGTTACTGGACTCCCATGTAGTTGACCGTGGTCTGAGTTCTAGACCCAGTGGCTTAAACTCATGCCAGGTGCGTGTGCGTGCGTGAGAAGAGAATGGAGGAGAAGGTATTATGGCATGGCCATCCTCCCAGGGGGTGATTTCTTGCTTTCTGTCTCTCTGTCTCTCCCTGTCTTTCTGGTGAGTGCACATGCTCTATAGCAAAAAATTCTCAGAAAAAAAAAAAAAGAAAAAGAAAAAGAAAAGAAAAGAAAGAAAGAAAAAAGAAAAAAGAAAAGAAAAGAAAAGAAAAGAAAAAAGAAAAGAGGCAAGACAGAAATGTCAAGTTACTTACAAAGGTTATCCCATCAGGTTAACTTTGAACCTCTCAGCAAAAACAATGTGAAAAAGGAAAAAATTGGAAGATATATTCAAAGTGTTAAAAGAAAAAAAAAAATTCAACCAAGTAAGATTATCCTTCAAATGGAAAGAAAAGATAAAAACATTCTCAGATATAGGACCAGTAGTTGGCATAATGGCTATGTCGCTGATCTCCTATGTAGTTGACTGTGATTCGAATCCTGGATTTGGTGGCTTAAACTCATGCTAGGTGTGTGTACATGCAGGGCCAGGATCCCAAGAGGAGAATGGAGGAGAAGGGATTGCGGTGTGGCCATCCCCCCGGGGGACGATTTCTTGCTTTCTGTCTCTCTGTCTCTCTGGCAAGCACACGCACCCTATAGCAAAAACCTCTCAAAAAAAAATATATATATATTCTCAGATAAACAGAACCTGAAAGAATTTACCAACACCAGACATGCTCTTCAAGAAGTTCTGAAGGGAATGCTATACCAAGAAAACTAAAGAGAGACAGACAGAAATAAGGGAACAAAAAACAACCAAGAAAATGGTTAACTTGATGGTAGGGACAAGACCAGAAATATCAATAATAACATTGACTGTTAATTAAATGATCCAATCAAGAGACAGAGACTGGCTGAATGGCTAAAACAAAACAAAACAAAAACAAAAACAAAAACAAAAAAACCCAGAAACTTTCTATCTGTTGCCTACAAGAAATATACCTCATGGATAAAGACATACATAGGCTAAAAGTGAAGGGCTGGAAAAAGCTATTCCATGCAAATAGAAATAAAAAAAAGGGTTGGAATCACAGTACTGATTTTGGAAAAAGTAAGTTCTAAGACAAAAACTGTAGGAAGAGACAAAGAAGAGCATTATATAGTAGTAAAAGGACTAGTCAATCAAGAAGATATAATGCTTATAAATATCTATGCATCCAACTCAGGAGCAGCCAAATACATGAAGGAAACACTGCTAGATTTAAAAGGAGAAAAAGACTGTAACACATTAATTGTTGGGGATCTCAATACTCCACTATCTCCTTTGGACAGATCATCTAGACAAAAAATAAGAAAAGAGATACAGGATCTAAATTATATCACAAATCAAATGGACTTGACAAACATCTATAGAACCTTCCACCCAAAAACCACAAAGTACACATTTTTTCACAACTGCATGGAAACTTTTTGAAGACTGACCACATGACAGTGCACAAAACAAGCCTTTATAGATTCAAAGGTATAGAAACTAAATCCAGCATCTTCTATAATGATAAAATTAAATTTGATACTAATTTATGGAAAAAAAACTAAAAAATACACAAACATATGGAAACTAAACAACCTACTCCTTTTTTTCTTTTCTTTAAATTTATTTTTTACATTAATTCACTATACATCATTACAGCATACAAAATGAATTTTCCATCCAGAATACACTGTATATTGGCTCAATCAAGCACTTTAACATATATGTTATCAACAAATAATTTTCCATTTCTTATTTTCTGTATATTTTTCTTTTTTTGCCATCCTTGATTCCCTATCCCTCATCCTCTGCTATGTCCCACCCTCCTCCCACATTGTCTTTGGTATCCATGGTTGCTTTCTATGCCTTTAGCCCCCCATTTAATTGATTTGCTAATGAACTTAATTAGTCTAAATATTTCCAATAGCAAGTGCAGCTGATATATACATATCCATGAACCCAAGTCTGACTTTAGGCATAAACATCAGTGAGTAGAATGAACATACTATAAAGTAGCACCTAGCTGGGGCTAGATAGCTTACTGCAGTCATCAAATACACATTTTTTTTTAATTTCGATAAGAACAGTTTTAGTGTTTTTTTTCCTCCTGAAACTTTTTTTTAAATTAATTTATATTCATTCCCTGAGCATCATCACAACATACTAAATGTGGTTTCCCATCTAGAATAAACTGCATAGTGGCTTAATCATGCATGTTATCATCCATAATATTCCATTTATATGTGTATATATATATATATATATATATATTGTTTTTACCCCATGTGTGACCCTCTGCCCTTTCCCACTCTTTTATTACACTATCTCCACTGTCTACAGTTGTCTTCAATTCCTTTTCCCCCAACATTTTGATCACACAATATCATAAGTAATCTAACTACGTTCAATAGCAAATTCAACTGGTAATTTCAAGAAAAGCAGTTTTGAACTGGTAAGGATATTTCCTTGAAACTTAAAGCCTAGAAACAGGTTAGTACTCTGTTCAAATAGTAGGCACATGAACCTATTGACAGCTCAAGACAGTACAAAAATCCTTAAAACCGGACAACAAAGTTTAGGAGAAAAGCAGCAATATTTTAGTCAAGTCACAGAATGCTGTTTCATCAGTTCAGTCTCATGTACTTAATCTTTCTTCTGTTGTGGTTCGATCTTCCAGATTGAATTCTGGGATATAACATTCAACTCCAGACTTTGTCCCTACAATTAAGTTGTCCATTTTCTTAGTTTTTGAACTCTTATTTCCACTCCATGAAATCCTGCAAGAAAACTT